CTTATTCCTACCTCTGCTGGTTATTTTCTCAACTGTTTTATCCTTTGCTATTGATGTAGATGTAATCATTTGTTTTACATTGCAAGTATTCTTAACAAGAGGCCCTGCTGGCTCTTTAATAACTATTATATCACTTAGCCAAGATAGGACTGGCCTTATAGAAACTTAAGCTAGAGTCTTAGATTCAGAAATAATTTTTGAGTCTGAGCCCCATTCCTGCCCTTGTACAAAGATGTAAAAGCCATATACCATGGTTTTCAACCTCAATACTATTGACATTTGGGGTTGGATAGTTCTTGTTGGGGCAAGGGGCTGTCCTATGAGTCCTAGGATATTTAACAGCATCCTTGACCTCTACCCACTAGATGTCCTCTCCCAGATGTCTCCAGATATTGCCCAATGTCTTGGGCAAAATCATCCAGGTTTGGAAACCACTGCCCTAGAGCAATGTTTTTCAAAGGCAGCATGCAAAAAATTGAGGAGGGTAGGTTGGTTTCCAATCCAGAGGTTTGTTTTAGATCTGGAATGAAGCCCAAAGTCTGCATTTAAATAAGCATCTTCTCTCATTTACCCACCTCTACCATTCTGATACAGATGATGTGAGGATTACACTTTCATAAACACTGCCCTCATAGACTAGTTGCCAGGGAGAGGCTTATGAATAATGAACTTGAGCTTGCTTTTCCTACTGCCTACTTTAAAGGCTCTCCTGCAAGTTAAAAGAGCTCCTTTAAATTATGGGAAGGCTGAAATACGCCAGTAGTTAAAGGACTAATTACCATTTTGTTTTTATGTATGGTCTGTCACCCTTTGTCTGAAGCAGTTCATGGCAGTGCTGTTTCTGAATTCTCTTCTGGAATTGCCTAACTGACATCTTCACTCCACAGCCCTTTCCCTGGGGAGATGGTAATCATACTCTATTCCATAACTCTCACATGAATCCACTTCCAACCGGCTATGAAGATGAATAGAGAGAACCTGGACCACCACCCAGTGGGGACCACAGCACTGGTTTGGACCAGGACTCTGCACACGGACCAGAAAAATCTATGGGACCTTAAGCTCACCTTCTTTACTTGTATCAAATGATGACCAGTATACTGATCTTCCATCCCTTTGCTTACGGCAGGAGATGGCTTAAATAAATAACTTAGATTGGTCTATGATCTGAGAGTTGCATTCTTTGGTGTTTTTCCCTCCAAAATCAGCATTGTTATTTTCGTTTCTATAATGAAGGTTTATGGCTGCCTTGTACAGGCCTCTGGATAACAGTGTTTATAATAGGCTTGTCCTTGGTTTCTTATGCCTGGAGTGGGTAAAGCAAAGGGACCATAAATGGAGCTAATTTAAGTATCAAGATTGGGTCCTGACAGACTTTGGGTGGTAAAGATATTGAGTAGAATACCTGCAATTTACATCTGAAAGAGGTATCTTTGACTCTCCAGAAGAAGTGCTTTCTCTTGTCCCATTCCACCAGCATTTGCTGAAGAGTATTCCCTGTGGTCAGGTAATTGGCTCCAAAGTGTCAAGTTCTCACCTTGTCATCTCTCAGCACCATGAAGGTTAGAAGGGTCAGAAAGTTTTGGAGAAATAAAGGCAGTATGACACATTTCTGCATATAGCAATTAGCTTTATTTGTTTCTGGAATTAAAACCTTCCTGTAGCATTAAGAGTTAGGGAGAAACAATAGTAAGAGTAACAAAGTCACCCTTACAGAGCATTTAATTTCTCTTCAAAATTTAAAATCTTTGAAGTAGCTGAGATAGTTGGAATCACTTTATGGGCAGGATGAAGTCAAAATAGAATGAAGAACAATTGGGCACCTGGGTGGCTCAGTTGGTTAAGTGTCTGACTCTTGATTGCAGCTCAGGTCATGATCTCAGGATTGTGAGATCGAGCCCTGCATCGGGCTCCACACTGTGTGGAGCCTGCCTAAGGTTCTCTTCTCTCCCTCTCTTAAAAAAAATAAAGAACAATCAGAAGAAATTATTCCCTCAGTAGCAGTTACAATGAAAGAACATGGTTGGCTTGGAGTGGTTTTATTCTCAAGGCTCAACCAGACAGTTTTGTAGTAAGATTCAAGAAGCTACCAGGTTTAGGTATTGCATAGTAACATACAGTAAACTGGTACTGCAAAGGTGAGGCATATGGACACACAGGGTATAAAAGCCTTTTACAGTAAGGGAGAAAAGGATCCCTGCTCCCTTTTCCATTTTGTGATCTAACCGCAGTCTGTGCTTGTACTTCCAAGTCCCCAAAGAACCATTGTACTTGTGGTCAGTCTGAGTTCAGGACAGATGTACTTTACTTTGGCTTGCTGCCTGGCCTCCCTCAGCTGGATTTCAAGTATCCAACTTTTAATCCATGTATAGAATGGACCGTAACCAGTCAAAATGTAATGTAGAATGTATTGAAATGACATTAAGGACTGGTCATGTTAAATATGAAGTGGTCACTGGTAAATTGGAGAGAGGCTAATACAATTTCCATCTTCTGTAAATTGTTTCTTACTATATTGGGTATATATAATTGAACCAAATTACTCAAGACATGCAATTTGGTGACTACGTGACATTCCAAAGTGTGTAAGTGCTCACCTGATCCTGACATTTTTTTGCAGGTATAGAAGCATATTAAGTTATTTGTGTAGCTTACTGTGGGAATAAACTTTAGAAATCAGTGAGGTTTCTAGTTTTAGCACACTATTTACCTTAGATAAATTTTCACTTTTTCTTCACCTTTAAATTATAAAACAAAACTTTCCCCAGTGTACATATGGGATATGTGGGGTTACAGTGTAATACTTGTTCTGTAAAGTGCACTGAGTTCTCCAGGGGCAAATAATGAAACTAAATGTTACAATTTATTCCATCTTCATGATTACAAACATTACAGGCAGGATAGGTACACAAGGCAAATAAAACAAACTTCTCCCATTTAACTAAATGCAGCATTTTGGCAGTTTAATGATAATACAGGTTGGCTTGCTTAATTTGGGCTGAAAGCTGGCAACAGCAAATCTTTGCAATTTAGGATCTTCCTCCATTGTTACTCCAAGGATCTTCATTCCTAAACTACACTATGAGCTCAGAAATGGTGTGTACTGCAACATTCTTCAAGCTTTCACATCTTAATCAGAAATCTGACACCTCTTCTTAAGGCAGAGAACTCTTAAAGCTGTCTTCCTCTTGGCTAACCCAGTCCACCAGCAATCTTAAAACCGTGCTCCCAAGCATTGATTAAAACTGTTGTGCTGGGATCCCTTTTCAGAGCCTTAGCTCCCTGAGAGAAAAGAGAGATCGTAACCAATTGTTTCCATGAATAATAACCCTAGTACAATGTACCTAATGTCCTTTGCAGCAAAACTCAAGAGGTCAGGCAACCCTGATCATCCTGACAAGTTTATCAGTATTTACATACAAAGGATATTTAAAGCTGATCCCAGACCAAGTATTGCAACCATAATCCCAAGAAGTCATTCAGTTTAAGCACATGGAGTTCCTGCAAGATGCCAGAGCAAGTGAGAAATCATCTCATAGCAAAGAGTGATGGTTCATCATCTTTTACAAGTGAGAGGAAATCAAGAAGGAAAGAAAACTCCTCCCTCCTAAACTCATCAAATCGATGGCTATTTTCACAGCCTTAATTGTCGAAATCCAGTGTCCTCAATTTCCTGATTGGAGGAGTCTATTTTCAAGGTGACTGTCAAGGTCAAGAAGAGCTTTCAGGCTTTTCTTTGCCATGGCCCATGAATTCCAGTCCTTCAATGGGAATCTCTTTCTCCTTTATTGCTTTCTGATGGAGAAGAAAACACATGACACAGGTCTATGTGAAGCTTAAGGACCAAACTTTGTAACTATGATAGTACAAAAGTAAATCAGATCAGACCAAGAGAACACCCAACCATGACTGGGTTGTACTTTTTTTACTGTACTGTACTTGACTACTATTTTTTTTCACCTGAGTACCATTACAGAGAAATTAAATGTAAGACCAGAGAGAGAGACTGGAAAGGAGTTGTGAGGAATTGTCAGTGTTTCAGATGTGGAATTTAAACAGTATCTCCACTCTGTTATGACAGACACAAATTCAAATCTGAGTTCCAGGACTTGGTGGCTATGTGACCTTGAGCAAGCCTCACTTTCCTATCTATAAATGGGATAAAGATAGCAATTTGGAATTACCCTGAGGATGTTTTAACTAATTGGGAGTGTTGTGTCCAGTGCGGTTCTTAAAATCCAAAGCAGTTTCACATTCATTGAACTAGAATGAAAATTTCCTAGCGGGTTGAGAGATACAGCAAGCCAAAGAAGGAATTATAACAACAACAACAAAATGAGACCCTCATGTCTAATACGCCAGAGAGACTAACACCCCTCTTCGCCCCCCAACAATAATAGTGGAATAGTGCACCACCGCAAAAATCAAGGAAACGATTCTGGTGAACTTGAACTAATCACTTCCTATTTGGGGAACGTTCCATGTATAAAATACAAACAACTATGCCCACTTTACGAGTTTAGGAGGAGCACCAAATGAACCAAAGGATGTTTCTGTGCTCGGTAAAATGTAAAGCATTGTAAAAATATTTAACTTTGTCATTCAGAGAGATACCGGGCAGCCTTGGTGGTGATGGTGGGGAAAGAGCTCCGGCCACTGTCCTCACTGAGGCTTTTCTTCACCCTCCCCATCCCAACCTCCGCGAAATACTACGCGTGTGGCGGGGACACCGCAGAGACAAGCAAGGGCGGGGGGTAGAGACGAAAGGGCTCTGGCCACCTAAGGGCTCACCTGAACACACTGCTGATAGCGCTTGAAGAGGTCGGTGCACGGGTCCCCGGAGCCGTCCCCCTTGAGGAACTTCTCGGCAAACCAGCGATTAAAGCACTGGTCGTACTCGCGCTTCATGTCGGTGCAGGCCTCCCCTACGCTATTCATGGCGGCGGCGGCAGTAGCGGCGCGCTCTGATGTCGTCACTCTTAAGTGCGTCGTCGGCTTTACGCGAGGACGCACTACGGCGGCTGAAGAGAGAAATGCGGGCGCGGGCGGTGAGGCTGGGCCTTCGGTCCTGGGTGGGCTGGCGCCGGGGCTTAACCTCCAAGGCGGATCCTCAGGTAAAGTCCGGGGGCGTCTAAGCGGGTGGTGAAGCAGGTCAGGAGGCGGAGCAGGCCCCACCCGTGACCCCTATTCTCCGCCTCATCCCCCCAGCGTAGTGGCAGTGTCACGGCCGAGGTGATCGAACACCTGGAGCGTCTAGCGCTTGTGGACTTCGGCAGCCAGGAGGCCGTGGCACGGTTGGAGAAAACCATCGCCTTTGCCGACCGGCTCCGCGCCGTGGACACGGACGGCGTGGAGCCCATGGAATCAGTATTGGAGGACAGGTAAACACTCGCGGCTGCGCACCCCCAAGCCTTGCCTGTGGCGCTTTCGCAGCCATTTGAGGTGGCGATGATTAGTGTGTCCTTTCACAGAAGGGAAAAGAGCTTTAGCGAGATGCAAGAACTTGCCCACGGTCACCCCGCGGGTAAGTGTTTTCATGCTTTCCTTTGTTCATTATGGATCCTGTCACTCCGTTTAAAGTCCCCTTGGCCTCCCAGTGTAACTAGGAACCGTGTCCGAACTGCTAATCATCGCCTCTGAGGCCCTGCTTCACAGAGTCCCTGCCTACCACTCGGGCATACTGCTCTTTTTACTCCAGCTACATTAGCTTTCTTACTGTTTCTCCAGCATGATAAATTGTTTCTTGTCTAGGATCTTTGCGTTTGCTATTCCCCTTTCCTCGGACAGCCTGTTTCCTTGGCAGGTCTTAGTTTATCTCCTCCAAGTATCTTCTCCCTTAACAGTCACCTACTCCTGATCTTGTTGGATTTTCTTCTATTTCTTGATTATCTTATTTCTGGTGATTTGTCTCTTGTTAATAGAATGTGAGCTCATGTTTGACTTGCCTACTTGTTGGATTCCTGTCTCAAAATATGGCCTGTACATATCTTCTGACCTAGTGGTTCCCTGTGGAAACATCTGTAAAAGTGCATCAAGATGTATGCACGAGTGTTCACGGTATCCAAACCTGTTTATAATACAAAACAACAACAACAAACTCGCTAACAAGGGGCACCTGGCTGGCTCAGTCCATAAAGCATGCTGTGCTCTCCAGGTCATGAGTTCCAGCCCCAGTTGGGGGTAGAGTTTACTTAAATTAAAAAAAATTTTTTTGAACCCCAAGAAACAAAAAACAGAAACAGTCTAAGTGTCCTTCATGGCTAAATACATCATCATACAATGGAATATTTGACAGTTGTTTAAAAATAATGAAACAACTGGGGCGCCTGGGTGGTTCAGTTGTTAGGCGTTTGCCTTCATCTCAGGTTGTGATCCCAGGGTCCTGGGATCAAGCCCCGCATCGGACTCCCTGCTCTGTGGGAAGCCTGTTCTCCCTCTCCCACTCCCCCTGCTTGTGTTCCCTCTCTCGCCGTGTCTGTCAAAAAAAAAAAACAAAAAAACTTAGGATACATTATATCCCCCCATTAAAATAAATAAATAAATGTAATGAAACAACTATGCTGATATGAAAAGATATATTTAATAAAAAAGGCAAAGTTCAGAACATTGTGTATGGGATTATCAATACTTTAATGTGTTACCTGTTTGACATATTCTGGTATATGCATTAAGTTTTGTTTTGTTCCCTCAGAGCATGCAAGAAACTGTAACAATAATGTTTTAAAAGAAAGTGGAAATGCAGACAGAGAGAAGTTCTAACTTTTCATCTTATACTGAGGGCCAAAACACAAATGCCTAAAGGAGCATAGTAGTAACACAAAAAGTGACGTAGTGTAGTGCAATAGGGAGGAGCAGGTCTTTGACAAAGCAGTTTGTGAATATTATACTAAAAGGATGTACAGCCTCTCCCCCCTTCTACCAATTCTTGCCAAATCTTAATACATTTTTAATTTTTTAAAGATTTTATTTGTCGGAGAGAGAGCGGGCACAAGCAGGGGAAGAGGCAGGCAGAGGGAGAAGCAGGCTCCCCGCTAAGCAGGGAGCCCAATGCGGGTCTCAATCCCAGGACCCTGGGATCATGACCTGAGCCGAAGGCAGATGATTAACCAACTGAGCCACCCAGGCGTCCCGAAATCTTAATACATTTTTTTTTA